CGCACGCAAGCACACTCACTCACAGTCACTGACCACTTACTCGTCATCACGCTCACTCGATAACTTGCATTAATTTCACTCAAAGCTACCCCTCATCACTCATCATCATTAGCATCACAGCACCATCGTTGTTCCCCACATCCACAGTGGGGTTCTTGTTTTCTCTCGACACCCCGCGCAGGAGCAAGAGAACACACCCTCTCCTCTTCGTCAATCGCACACGCATTCATTCAAACACTCACACACATCCCCACTCACACTCACTCACTCACTCACTCACTCACTCACCCACACACACTCACACATGCTCACTCACCCACTCACTCGCCCACTCGCACACTCACACACACACACACACACGCACACTGATCATCACTCACTCACGCACTCACCCACTCATTCACCCACCTACCCACCCGTTCACTCACTTACTCACACTCTCATCATTGTCATCATTATCATCATCATCATCATCATCATCATCATCATCATCATCATCACCATCACCATCACCATCACCATCATCATATCAGCATTATTATCATCAGCAGCAGCAGCATCATCATCATCATCATCATCATCATCATCATCATCATCATCATCATCTTTGCCGTCATCATCATCGTGATTATCATCATCATCTTCACTCACTCACTCACTCACTCACTCATTCTCTCACTCACTAACTCATCTCAGGCGGGAGCTTGGTCTGTGAGCGAATTGCGAGGAACTCTCTGGTGGGAGCCCCCTCCCTACAGGCCCCCAGCTCACGTGAGTAATCCGAGTGGGTCATCGGAATCCTGTACCTGTCGTCCTTTTTACCTAACAGCGAAGACTGATAGGTTTATAATGGTCTCAAAAGAGAGCATCATGACTCCCCAGGGGGGTCCGGGCAGGATCCGGGGAGATTCCGCGGAAGTCGTTCTAAGCAAACACTTACACACTTCGTGGTCTTCGAGGTCCCAGAACTCCCTTCCCGGGCCACATTTCGTGGTCTTACTGTAGGCAATTTCGTGGTCTTCGAGTTCCCAGAACTCCAGTCCTGGGCATGATTTTGAATGCCCGGAGCCAACTGTAGGCCACTTCGTGTTCTTCGAGTTCCCAGAACTCCATTCCCGGGACACATTTTGAATGCCTGGAGCCAATTGTAGGCCATTTCGTGGTCTTCGAGTTCCCAGAACTGAAGTCCTGGGCATGATTTTGAATGCCCGGAGCCAACTGTAGGCCACTTCGTTTTCTTCGAGTTCCCAGAACTCCATTCCCGAGACACACTTTGAATGCTGAGGCAAGCTAATGCTGAGGCTGAGGCAGGCTGAGGCAGGCTGAGGCTGAGGCTGAGGCTGAAGGCAGACTGAGGCTGAGGCTGAAGCAGGCTGAGGCTGAGGAGGCTGAGGCAGGCTGAGGCTGATGCTGAGGGCTGATGCTGAGGCAGGCTGAGGCAGGCTGAGGCAGGCTGAGGCTGAGGCAGGCTGAGGCTGAGGCTGAGGCTGAAGGCTGAGGCTGAGGCTGAAGCCTGAGGCCGAGGCTGAGGCAGGCTGAGGCTGAGGCTGAGGCAGGCTGATGCTGAGGCTGAGGCTGAGGCTGAGGCTGAGGCAGGCTGAGGCTGAGGCAGGCTGAGGCTGAGGCTGAGAGGCTGAGGCGAGGCAGGCTGAGGCTGAGGCTGAGGCTGAGGCTGAGCAGGCTGAGGCTGAGGCTGAGGCTGAGGCTGAGGCTGAGGCCGAGGCTGAGGCTGAGGCTGAGGCAGGCTGAGGCTGAGGCTGAGGCAGGCTGAGGCTGAGGCTGAGGCAGGCTGATGCTGAGGCAGGCTGAGGCTGAGGCTGAGGCTGATGCAGGCTGAGGCTGAGGCAGGCTGAGGCTGAGGCCGAGGCTGAAGGCAGACTGAGGCTGAGGCTGAAGCAGGCTGAGGCTGAGGCTGAGGCAGGCTGAGGCTGAGGCTGAGGCAGGCTGAGGCTGAGGCAGGCTGAGGCTGAGGCTGAGGCTGATGCAGGCTGAGGCTGAGGCAGGCTGAGGCTGAGGCCGAGGCTGAAGGCAGACTGAGGCTGAGGCTGAAGCAGGCTGAGGCTGAGGCTGAGGCAGGCTGAGGCTGAGGCTGAGGCAGGCTGATGCTGAGGCAGGCTGAGGCTGAGGCTGAGGCTGAGGCAGGCTGAGGCTGAGGCAGGCTGAGGCTGAGGCCGAGGCTGAAGGCAGACTGAGGCTGAGGCTGAAGCAGGCTGAGGCTGAGGCTGAGGCAGGCTGAGGCTGAGGCTGAGGCTGAGGCAGGCTGAGGCTGAGGCTGAGGCTGATGCAGGCTGAGGCTGAGGCAGGCTGAGGCTGAGGCCGAGGCTGAAGGCAGACTGAGGCTGAGGCTGAAGCAGGCTGAGGCTGAGGCTGAGGCAGGCTGAGGCTGAGGCAGGCTGAGGCTGAGGCTGAGGCTGAGGCTGAGGCTGAGGCTGAGGCTGAGGCTGAGGCTGAAGGCAGGCTGAGGCTGAGGCTGAGGCAGGCTGAGGCTGAGGCTGAGGCAGGGCTGAGGCTGAGGCAGGCTGAGGCTGAGGCTGAGGCTGAGGCTGATGCAGGCTGAGGCTGAGGCAGGCTGAGGCTGAGGCCGAGGCTGAAGGCAGACTGAGGCTGAGGCTGAGGCTGAAGCAGGCTGAGGCTGAGGCTGAGGCAGGCTGAGGCTGAGGCAGGCTGAGGCTGAGGCTGAGGCTGATGCAGGCTGAGGCTGAGGCAGGCTGAGGCTGAGGCCGAGGCTGAAGGCAGACTGAGGCTGAGGCTGAAGCAGGCTGAGGCTGAGGCTGAGGCAGGCTGAGGCTGAGGCAGGCTGAGGCTGAGGCTGAGGCAGGCTGAGGCTGAGGCTGTGACTGCGACTGCCGTTGCCACTGCGACTGTCATCGCGAATGCGACTACGACTGCGAGAACAGCAGAATTCTACAACTGGATTCTCATCTGAATCTTAAGGGGAATGCTTCCAGATATGCTGCTCCTACACATCGCTGTTAGGTTGCTTTGCTGGGATAATTGGCCTCTTCGAGCTTGAGTATGGCGGAAGTCTCAGGCAGGAGCCTCGTCTGTGAGTGACTTGCAAGGAAGTCTCAGGCGGGAGCCCCCTCCGCATGGAGCCGGCAGTCATGCTATTAATCCGAGCGTGTCATCGGAATCATTGTGTTGTCACTTGTGGGCTCCTGAGGCTTGAGTATGGCGGAAGTCTCAGGCGGGAGCTTTGTGTGTGAGTGAGTTGCGAGGAATTCCCGGGCGGGAGCTCCTTCAATATGGGGCCCGCAGCTCATGTTATTCATCCGAGCGGGTCATCGGAATCCTGTAACTGTCGTCACTTGTGGGCTCCTCAGGCCTGAGCATGGCGAAGGTCTCAGGTCGTAGCTTCGTCTGTGAGTGAATTGCGGGGAAGTCTCCGGCGGGAGCCCCCTCCCTATGGTGCTCGCAGCTCATGTTATTCAGCTAATCGGGTCATCGGAATTTTCTGGTTGTCGTCACTTGTGGCCTCTTCAAGCTTGTTTATGGCGGAAGTCTCAGGCGGGAGCTTCGTCTGTGAGTGAATTGCGAGGACGTCTCAAGCGGGAGCCTCCTCCTTATGGGGCCCGCAGCTCATGTTATTAATCCGAGCGTGTCATCGGAATCCTGTAATTGTCGTCACTTCGGGGCTCCTGAGGCTTGAGTATGGCTGAAGTCTCAGGCGGGAGCCTCGTTTGTCAGTGAATTGCGAGCAAGTCTCAGGCGGGGGCCCCCTCCCAATGGGGCCCGCAGCTCATGTTCTTAATCCGAGCGGGGCATCGGAACGCTGTAATTGTCGTCACGTCTGGGCTCCTGAGGCTAGAATGTAGGGACGTATCCGGGGGGAAGCCTCGTCTGTGAGTGAATTGCGAGGACGTCTCCGGCGGTAGCCTCCGTAGTGGGTTCGCAGAACATGTTCTTGATCCGAGCGGGTCATCGGAACCTTGTGATTGTCGTCACTTTGGGGCTCGTGGGGCTTGCGTATGGGGGAAGTGCCAGGCAGGAGTTTCGTCTGTGAGTGACTTGCGAGGAAGTCTCAGGCGGGAGCCTCCTCCCTATGTGGCCCGCAGAACATGTTCTTAATCCAAACGGGTCATCGGAACCTCGTGATTGTCGTCATGTTTGGGCTCCTGAGGCCTGAATATCTCGGAAGAATGGGGTGGGGGCCTCGTCTGTAAGTGCGTTGCGAGGAAGTCTCAGGCGGGAGCCTCCTCCTTCTGGGGCCCGCAGCTCACGTGCTTTATCCGGGTCGTCCTCCGTCGCGCGCTTCCTTTGGGTCGTCCTCTGGCGCGTAGCCGCTGGGACGCACGTCGATCCCTTCCTCTAGGTCTAGGTTCGGCAGTTATGTTACAGGAGGTCCATCGAGAAAGCCGGCCGACATCTTTTGATCATCTTCAGCAGAAAACTCAACCTCCCCAACATGTTAAAACAAATCTCTAAACCACAACTTGCGAAACTCTAAAACCATTAAAAGTTGCAGACGTACGCTCTAAGCCAAAACCTGGGAAAACCTCAACCCGAAAAAAACTTGAAACCGAAACTACAGAAACACTTGAAGCAGAGATATTGAAAAGCAAATGCTTGATGCTTGGGCGGCCAGATTGTTTTTAGATTTATTTTGAACTTTTTTGGACAGTTTCCTAGGCCGCCGGGGTTTGCATGTAGAGTTGTGTTCGAGTTATCCAAGCTTTTTGCGGTCTTCCTCCTCCTCCTGCTCCCTCCTCCTGCTCCGCCTCTTCCTTCACTTCCTCCCTTCCTCCCTCCCTCCCTCCCTCCCTCCCTCCCTCCTCCTCCTCCTCAACAACCAGCCCCCGGACCTGTCCGGAAGTGCGTTGTGACCAGCATTCCGAGGGGCGTCCAACCTTCCAGGCGTCCAGCTTCCTCCTGCTCCTCCTCCGCCTCCGCCTCCTCCTCCTTCTCCTCCGTAGCCATTTGGGCTCAAGGTGAGCTCTTAATTTTCTCACATCGCAAGTGAACATTCATTGCTACACTTCTTGACTATCGTCGGCTCAGCAATGGTACACGTACTGATCTCTGCGGCGACATTTGCGCTCGCTTACGCTGTGGGCGCCGAAATGCAGCTCATGCAGATGTCAGTGCATGGGCCGGACGGTTTAGAGGCGGCAACGCTACGGACTGATTTCACCGCGGATTTCGTGTTCATTCCTCAACGTGGATGCGCAGGTCCTGGCAGGGAGAGTGAGTGGCTTACCGTCGGCAAGCCGTACACTCCTGCAGCGTGTGCGATTGGGTGCGCGACGTACAACTATTTCACCATTGCATGGAAGGACGCCAACTGCAAGTGCGCGGACTTGTGTACAGATGAAAACGGTGTACACACATCTTATGCTTTTGTTCAGGGCGTGCCTACAGTGACCTCCATGGTGCTGCACGTGAACACCAGCCAGCAGAAAGGACGACGACAAGTCGAGGCGGCCGACCACGTGGTGAAAGGGGCCTCTTGGAGCCAGGTGGGGCAGGACATCGATGGCGAAGCCGCAGGCGATCTCAATGTGTGGTCGGTGTCGCTGAGCAGCGACGGCAGCCGCGTGGCCATTGGAGCATACGGCAACGACGGTGCTGGGTCAAATTCTGGTCACGTTCGCGTCTTCGGGCTCTCGGGCAACGCTTGGAGCCAGGTGGGGCAGGACATCGATGCCGAAGCCGCAGGCGATTACAGTGGCACGTCGGTGTCGCTGAGCAGCGACGGCAGCCGCGTGGCTATTGGAGCATACGGCAACTACGGTGCTGGGCCAATGTCTGGTCACGTTCTCGTCTTCGGGCTCTCGGGCAACACTTGGAGCCAGGTGGGCCAGGACATCGATGGCGAAGCCGCAGTCGATGGAAGTGGCACGTCGGTGTCGCTGAGCAGCGACGGCAGCCGCGTGGCCATTGGAGCAAGAAACAATCACGGTGTTGGGTCACGTTCGCGTCTTCGGGCTCTCGGGCAACACTTGGAGTCAGGTGGGGCAGGACATCGATGGCGAAGCCTCATGCGATTACAGTGGCCATTCGGTGTCGCTGAGCAGCGACGGCAGCCGCGTGGCCATTGGAGCAATCTACAACAACGAAGGTGCTGGGTCAAATTCTGGTCACGTTCGCGTGTTCGGGCTCTCGAGCAACACTTGGAGCCAGGTGGGTCAGGACATCGATGGCGAAGCCTCAGGCGATCATAGTGGCCAGTCGGTGTCGCTGAGCAGCGACGGCAGCCGCGTGGCCATTGGAGCATACGGCAACGACGGTGCTGGGTCAATGTCTGGTCATGTTCGCGTCTTCGGTCTCTCGGGCAACGCTTGGAGCCAGGTGGGGCAGGACATCGATGGCGAAGCCGCAGGCGATTACAATGGCACGTCGGTGTCGCTGAGCAGTGACGGCAGCCGCGTGGCCATTGGAGCACACAGCAACGACGGTGCGGGGTCAAATTCTGGTCACGTTCGCGTCTTCGGGCTCTCGGGCAACACTTGGAGCCAGGTGGGGCAGGACATCGATGGCGAAGCCGCAGGCGATTACAGTGGCACGTCGGTGTCGCTGAGCAGCGACGGCAGCCGCGTGGCCATTGGAGCATACGGCAACTACGGTGCTGGGTCAAATTCTGGTCACGTTCGCGTCTTCGGGACCGAGGCGTCGACGCCAGCACCAACGCCGGCACCAACGCTCGCACCAACGCCCGCACCGACGACATCGTCGTCCTCCGCCACCGGCGACCCACACTTGCAGAACATGTTCGGTCAGCGGTTCGACTTGGTGAGGCCAGGCACGTCCGTCTTGGTCAGCTTTCCGCGCGGAACGCCCGTCGAGGATGCGCTGCTTGTTGTAAAGGCCGACGCGCGTCGATTGGGGGCACATTGCTCGGACATGTACTTCCGGGAGGTCAACGCCACAGGGACGTGGGCGAACAAGGTGCGGCCGGGAGGCTTTCACTTCGACGCTCGCGACGCGCGTGACGAGACGCCGAAGTGGCTGAAACTCAGGCTTCTGGAGCTCAAAGTCGGCAGCGGTCACACCGACAAGGGGCAGCCTTATCTGAACGTCTACGTCAAGAACCTTCAGCGCACTGGGTATCGTGTCGCAGGGCTGCTGGGAGAGGATGACCACACGGAGGCGGCAGCGCCCGAGGAAGGGTGCCAGAAGATGATGTCCCTCGAGGCCCGCGTGCATGGTCAAGCTTCGGATCTACAGGGCTCCGTCGCAATCGGCTACTGAGCCGGGGGCTCCCGGCTCCGCGCGGGGCGGTCGAGTCTTTCTGTGGCATCCTGATGCCTCCTGGGACCTCATGTGGTCTCCTGGGGCCTCCTGGAGCCTGTTGGAGCCTCCTGTGGTATCCTGAAAAGAATCTGCGCCCACGAGCCTGGCCACCAAAACAGGCAATCCGATCGAGACATCCTCAACATCTGGCACACCTGGGGGGCGAAAATGAGCGCCTCGCTCGAGACATCCTCCAAATCTGCTCCGACAGCGAAGGATGTTGGGACAGAAAACAGGCAAACCGCTTGAGACATCCCCACAAAACGGCCGCGAACGGGACCGTGAAAACATCTCTAGCGGCCCCCCTTAGGGATGCTGAAACCAGCGCCCCGCCTGAGACATCCTCACAATCTGCTCGGATAGCCAAGGATGTTGGGACAGAACACAAGCAAACCGCCTGAGACATCCCCGCAACATTGCTGCGAACGGGACCGTGAAAACACCCCTGGCGGCTCCCCTTAGGGGGGCTGAAGCCAGCGCCCCGCCTGAGACATCCTCACAATCTGCTGTGTGTGTGGAATAAATCAGATAATGAAAAGGTCTGAGTACGAGCAGGTCTGAGTATGAGTGAGTCCGGGAACAAGTCTGAGTATTACTTAGTCTGGGCATGAGTGAGTCTCAGCATGAGTAACTCTGAGTAGGAGTAGGTCTGAGTATGAGTAGGTCTGAGTATGAGTAAGTTTGTGTCTTAGTAAGTCTGGGTATGAGTAAATATGAGTGTGAGTAAGTCTGGGTATGAGGAGGAGAAGGAGAAGAGTGAGAAGAAGGAGTAGGAGGCGTCCAAGTAATTAGTCACTGCGTGGGGATCACCATATGTGCATCTTTTTAACAGGATAATTGTCAGTTGGATCTGGGAATGCGCGTCTAGCCATTTGGGCGCTTGGGACTGCTCCTGGGGCCTCTCGGGGCCTCCTGTTGCCTTCCGAGGCCTCCTGGCGCTTCCTCTGGCCTCCTGGGGCCTCCCGGATCTTCCTGGGGCCTCCCGGAGCTTCCTGGGGCCTCCTAGAGCCTCTTGGGACATCCTGTGGCCTCTTGAGTCTTTCTGTGGCCTCCTGATGCCTCCTGGGACCTCATGTGGTCTCCTGGGGCCTCCTGGAGCCTGTTGGAGCCTCCTCTGGCATCCTAAGGAGAATCTGTGCACACGAGTCTGGCCACCGATCGAGACATCCTCAAAATCTGGCCCACCTGGGGGGGGAAATGAGCGCCTCGCTCCAGACATCCTCCAAACTGCTCCGAAAGCAAAGGATGTTGGGACTGGCCGCTCCCCTTAGGGATGCTGTAAATGAGCGCTTCGCCTAAGACATCCTCCAAGTCTGCTCCGAAAGCGAAGGATGTTGGGACAGAAAACAGGCAAATCGCTTGAGACATCCCCACAAAACGGCCGCGAACGGGACCGTGGAAACACTTCTGGCGGCTCCCCTTGGGGATGCTGAAAATGAGCGCTTCGCCTGAGACATCCTCCAAGTCTGCTCCGAAAGCGAAGGATGTTGGGACAGAAAACAGGCAAACCGCTTGAGACATCCCCACAAAACGGCCGCGAACGGGACCGTGAAAACACCCCTGGCGGCACCCTTAGGGATGCTGAAAATGAGCGCCTCGCTCGAGAAATCCTCCAACTCTGCTCCGAAAGCGAAGGATGTTGGGACAGAAAACAGGCAAACCGCTTGAGACATATTTGAAGAATCGCCGCGGACGGGACCGTGAAAACACCCCTGGCGGCTCCCCTTAGGGGGGCTGAAGCCAGCGCCCCGCCTAAGACATCCTCACAATCTGCTGTGTGTGCGGAATAAATCAGACAATGAAAAGGTCTGAGTACGAGCAGGTCTGAGTATGAGTAAATCTGGAAACGAGTCTTAGTTAGTCTGGGGAGGAGAAGAGGAAGAAGAAGGAGGCGTCCAAGTAATAACAAGAACCCCATCTTAGGATGTGAGGTCTGAGCATGAGTAAGTTTGTGTCTGAGTCAGTCTGAGTATGAGCAGATCTGAGTGTGAGCAAATCTGGGTAGGAGGAGGAGGAGGAGAAGAGGGAGAAGGAGGAGCAGGAGGCGCCCACGTCATAACGAGAACCCCATCTCAGGATATGGGGAATCCGCATGACAACTCTCAGGTCCGCGCGGATTCTCCAGAGCGGCGCTGCACGCCCCTCCCGCGCAACGGGCGGCACTGGAGGCGGACACCCGAGCTCGCATGCTTCTGCCGCTGCGTGCTTCCCTGCCCCTCGATGGGGAGTCCTGATCCTCCATCCCCCTATAGGGATTGTTTTTCTCAGGAGGGGAAAACACACACAGACACAATTCATCGTCGACCGTCCAGAACATATGCGAAAGTATGGGAAGTGGGGGGGAAGACAGAAACCCAGAACATATTAGAAAATATGGGGACTCATTTTATCAGGTTGTATTTATTTGTGTGTCCCAGGGCCCCTTCATTTTCACCCACCCATCGAGATGTCCGTTACCGGGGGTGATCGGTCCCCCGTGGAGTGGTAACGGTAACTTGGTCGGGCCAGTCGGGTGTGACCCCAGGCGTCAGATGACGACGCCGACGAGGACGACGAGGACGACGAGGACGACCAGCGCTAACGACCACGACTGCGACGACCACGACCACCGCCATCTGGTGGCGTCTGGAGGATCTCCGATGCCTGCCAGCACCACAGCAGGCCTGTGAACACGACGCCATTCCTGTGGGGCCCCCCTCGCCCCGCGCGCTCGCTGCCGGCAGGGGGGGGGGCGACGCCCCCGGTGGCGGACGTTGCGTGCTCAGTGAGAATTCGTTTGGCGAAGGTCCCGGACATCTGCAGTTGCGGGTACCGTGGTGTGGGTCCGCCAACCTCCTCCTCCTCCTCCTCCTCCTCCTCCTCCTCCTCCTCCTCCTCCTCCTCCTCCCTCTCCTCCTCCTCCTCCTCCTCCCTCTCCTCCTCCTCCCTCTCCAGGAGAGCCCAGAATCGAATCGGCAAGTCGGATCTGCAATCCGGAATGGATCGGATCCGTGTGAGTACGCCTTCAGTGGTGCTCTCGATGGGGCCACGAAGCGTGTGAAGGACGTGCCGAAGTCGGGTGGCCATGCGTGCCGTGCCTCTGGTGTGCTCGGGGAGGGCGCACGGGGCGGCCTGTAAGGGGACAAGCGGTCTCCGACGAGCATCTTCCTCGAGCTCACTGGGGTTTCGCCACTGGGGCGACACAGGCCAGTGGGTAGCTGGGCTTCCCCTGGGTCCGTGGCAGGTGCTCCCCCCTCCATGCACGGGTCGTGTGGCGTGTTCCACCCTTCGCTCCTTCCTCGTGCTGTCCCTAGCCCAGGCAGCCCCCGTATCCCCCCTTTCCCTCCCACTTCTCTCGCCCGCCCCTCTATTCCGCCCGCTCCACCTCCTCTCTCCCTCTCTCTCCCATCTTCTATGGTAAGCACTGCTTCCATGCCGGTCCCCGAGTGGAGGGGCAAGCTGCTTGGAGTAGGTAGCCGGCAGGCCAGTCACTTTCTGGCCGTACCATTCGTTCATCATTTTGTCCATCCTCTCTGGGCCGCGGGTTATCGGTATGTTGTGGGGCAGTGCGCACATTGAAGGGGGTGTGAAGATGGGCGCCCACCACATCTTCCCACATGCTGTCTGCTCTCGTCTCTTCCCTCCTGCTGCCTGCTCTTGTCGAAAGCGCCCCGGTGGGGTGGGAAGATGGCCGCACCCGCCATCTTCCCAGCAACGACCGTGCGCAGGTGGGGGGTTTGAATGGGGTCGTCTGTTTCACTATGCTTTTGTAGGCAAGGGGGTTGTCCGCAACAGTTCGCTTTCCATGCCGGGCTGTGGGCTCAGGCTTTGTCTCACATGCCCCCCTTGCAGCGTCTGTACGGACTAGCGCCGTCCGCGCTGGAACTCTGCCAGGACTGTGGGCTACGGCTACGCTTCGCATGCCCATCGAGCCTGCGGTCCGTTGTTTCGGCTGGCCCGACTCACCCAACGCGGCTGGAGTTCTGGTAGCACGCCGCACGTGGGCAGGCAAAATATGTGGTATTCTGCTAGGGTCTCGGGCGCTGAGTCTGTACAGGCTAGCGCCGTCCGCTGTGGAACTCCGCCGGGATTGTGGGCTACGGCTTCGCTTCGCATGCCCATCTAGCCTGCGGTCCGTTGTTTCGGCAGGCCCGTGCCAACAAACACGGCTGGAGGTTTGGTAGCAGGCCGCATGTAGGGATTCCGGTTCTCAGATGCACTGAGGTTGCTCAGGCTGGCGCCGTTCGCGCTGGAACTCTGCTGGGACTGTGGGCTACGGCTATGCTTCGCATGCCCATCTAGCCCGCGGTCCGTTGTTTCGGCTGGTTCGACTCAACAAACAAGGCTGGAGTTCTGGTAGCGGGTCGCACTAGGAAGGTAAGGTTAGCGCCGTCCGCACTGGAACTCCGCCAGGACTGTGGGCTACGGCTATGCTACGCATACCCATTCAGCCTGCGGTCCGTTGTTTCGGCTGGCCTGGCTCAACAAATAAAGCAGGAAAGCTGGTAGCGACCAACACTAGGTAGGAAAGACCAGCGCTGTCCGCGCTGGAACCCTGCCAGGACTGTGGGTTACGGCGATGTTTCGCATACCCCTATAGCCTGCAGTCCGTTGTTTCGGTCGGCCCGATTCCACAAATACGGCTGGATTTCTGGTAGCACGCCGCACTGGGTAGGCAAGACCATGGGAACCATGCTAGAGTTTCGGGCTCATGTCCTTGAGCTTGCGTAGCTCTGAAAGTTTTTAGAGTCACGCAAAAATCCAGCCGCCAGAGCGAAGGCGAAGGTGTTTCGAGTTAAGGTGTCCCCGGTCAGGGGATTGGTTCCTTGGGGCCGCACCTATGTCCTTGTGCTTCAGGGGTTGGGGGGTGGGGTTATCCTTTTAAGCTCGGCATCCCTGTTCCGGCCTGCCCAGGTCAGGGGAGTAGCCGGACCCCCTACAGGGCCGTTTCGCCCTCCAGACACGGGGTGTTGTCGTTCGGCATGCCCGGCCCGGCCTGCCTAACAGTAGGGGGTTCCATTTCAGCTGGGTCTAATATGTTAAGGCGGCTACTGCCACCGCCGCAGCTTAGGTGGCTCAAGTTTTCCTGTGTTAGCCTGGTTACACCGCCTTCCTTTGCCGACGCTCGATGCCGGCCTACGGCCCCCCCAGTCCCGTCCGCGGCTGCCCGAGATCCCCGTCGAGCGGGAACCACTTGGAAGAAGGCGTGCAAGGGTCAGTCCCCTAATTGCCGGCGCGGGAACGGGGCAATTCTGGGCGATTTGATGCCTTTGAGCACACTGCTCGCGCTC